CGCTGATGTTCACCAGCTCGTCACCCGGCTGCAGCTGGCGGGACAGCGCGGCCTTGCCCCCGTCCTCCACCTGGGCGACAGAGAGGGGCATCAGGGGGGACACAGCCCCCCAGAACACCCCGGGGGGTGTGCCACTGCTTCTGGGTGCCAGGGGAGAAAGAGGCTTCAGAAAGGGGGTGCCTGCACCCCAGACACCGTGGAGGGATCTGCAGTGCCAGGCTCCCCCCCTGCCCCGGTCACATGAATTTCTGAACAAGGAAAGGGCATCGGGGAGGGGGGGAGAAGAAAAATGTCCCATCCCAGCAGATTCCCCTGCGGGCGCGGGCAGCACAAGGGCCCTTTGTCCGGCACAGATGCCAGCCCCCTACTGCTGCTCCCAGCCCCACATTGGCCCTGCCCAGGCACCCGCAGTTATTTCAATGCCCAAAGGATGCCACCACGCCGTGTGCACCCAGGGGAGCCAACAGCAGGGGAAGTGCCGAGCTGTGCCCGGCCCTGGCATGCGCCTACCCCATCCTGGCACCCACGGCCAAAATGAGCCTGGTACCCCATACAGCCACAGCTTGGAGGACACAGGGCTACGGTGCTGCCAGCATGGAGGGGCCCCAGCCTGTCCCCTCTGCCCCAGCAGGTAGGTGCAGCACAGGCAGCCCTGGGATTGGCATTGCCCAGCCAGGGCAGGCAGAGCACCTGGTGCTGGCACTCATTTCTGCCCATCCTGCTGCTCCCGATGGCCAGGGATCGCCACGCCCAGCTGTGCTGGTTTTGGCTGGGTAGAGTTAATTTTCTTCATAGTAGCTAGTATGGGGCTATGTTTTGGATTTGTGCTGAAAACAGTGTTGATAACACAGGGATGTGTTAGTTATTGCTGAGCAGTGCTCACACAGAGTCAAGGCCTTTTCTGCTTCTCACACCACCCCACCAGCAAGTAGGCTGGGGGTGCACAAGAAGTTGGGAGGGGACACAGCCGGGACAGCTGACCCCAGCTGACCAAAGGGATATTCCACACCATATGACGTCATGCTCAGCATATAAAGCTGGGGGAACAAGAAGGAACAGGGGGACATTCAGAGTGAGGGCGTTTGTCTTCCCAAGTAACTGTTACGCGTGATGGAGCCCTGCTTTCCTGGAGATGGCTGAACACCTGCCTGCTGATGGGAAGCAGTGAATGAATTCCTTGTTTTGCTTTGCTTGCGTGCACGGCTTTTGCTTTACCAATTAAACTGTCTTTACAGTGCAGGCACGTGGGGCAGGACCTGAGGTGCCCCATGCCTGCAATGGATGTGGAGCCTGACCCAGCCGGACCCTACAGCCACCCGCAGGGTGACGAGCAGAGCGGGCCTGGCCCTGTGCCAGGGCTCCTGTGCCCACCCTGCCCATGGGCTCCTCACCCTGCCCTGCCACTCCCAGCCCGGCAGAGAAACAAGCTCTGCCCACAGTGCCCACAGCGCCGTCTCCACAGCCCAGCCTGGGCGGCAGCCAGGCCCCAGTGCCAGGGAGCACCCGCAGCTCCCCAGCAGGCCAGCCACCACGCACATGCCCCCAGGCGCCCCTTCCCAGCCCTGGTGCCAGGCAGGGCTCAGGGGACATCCCCCTGCCCGTGGGCAACATGGCACCTGGGGAGCCAGGCAGGGGCTGACAGGCCCCCTGCCCAGCCCGGCACTGCCCCATGGCTCTGCCTGGCATGGCTGTGCCCAGCATCACGCAGCTCTCCCATTTTTTCAGGGACCTGGAGATTGCAATGCCATGCCCAGGCTGGGCACAGCCTGATGCACCTGCCTGTGCAGGCAGGCTGCCCTCCCACCCAGGAGTCGGCCGTGGGGCTGCCGTCCTGGCACAGGGCCCCAGCTGCCTACAAGGGCTCCCAGTCCCACCACACACTCGCTGGAGCACTCGGGTTTAACCCCTGCCACACTGCTGCCCACCACCAGGCAGCTCCGGCAGAGCAGGCAGGCAGGGCAGGCTGCACCTTCACCCTAGTCCTTTGCCCGACCACATGCCCACCCTGTCCTGCCTGCCACAGCCATGGGGCTGAGTCAGTGGTGACGGGTTCCCCCCCGGTGCAGGACACCACTGGGGCTGCACCCACGTCTGGGCCACCACGTGCACCGGGACGGACACGGCTCAGCCCTGGCATCGCTCACCAGGAGCTAAATCTGGCACAAACAGCCCCTTGTTCAGCCTTCACCACCAGTGAACTCAGCACTGGCAGCCAAACCCCGCCCCCTGCTGCCCTGCCTGGCTGGACCAGCCCTGGGCATTTCCCCAACACCACCCCTGGTGTTCACTCTGGGCCCTAATGGTGGGGCCTAATGGCACCAGCTGGCTCACAGGAGTATCCGCCTGCCCCATGAGAGACTTGTCTTAGAAGGATTCACAGCCATGGCTGTGCCTGAGCTGTGCCCACCCTGCCCCACGCAGACCTCCCTCCTTGCCCCCGATGTGCCTGGGGGGGCCTGTGCTGAGGGGCACTCAGCAGCCCCAAGGAGCCCATGCCAGCCCCACAGTGGGACTCTGCCACAGGAAGGGATCCCGCCTGGAGCAGGCTCAGAGGCCAAACTGTCTCCCTGAGCGCCAGGACCCCCTTCCCCTTTCCGGCGTGGGGCCTGGGGCCCCCCCGTGCCACAGGCAGGGGCTGCCCCCTCCCCACAAGGGCCGGCATGCACACACCTCAGCCAGCAGCGGCGGTGGAGCGGGCGCCCCGGGGGACCCTCCCCTGAATGCACAGAGCACTGGAACAAGCCCCCTTTGTCTGCAGAGCACACGCGGCAGTGGCGGCCCGGCCAGGGGACCACAGGGGCCAGCAGACCCCGGCCCGCAAGGACCCCCCC